TTTTACCTACTAAATCCAAGAACAAATACACTTATTTTAAGAAAAAACAACTTATCTAGATTTCGATTTTTTTCCATTGCAGGATAATAGGATTAAGTTTAGTTTAGCAAACTTCAGATTCATTAGAGATTTTCTTTCAACGGAAGCTGCTAAATCATATTTTTTATCACACATCATAGAAAATAACCGAAATAATCCTCTGCCGTCCGTCTTCCTGTTTCTTTCTGACCCTCAAACCGTCTTTAATGTTTTTTCTTTCTGGTAAAAATGACAGCATAGAAGCTCCTGGTGTCAAAGTTACTAATCAACTGCCTTCATCTCCTTCCTGTGTTGAGCAAGCTCTGCACTGGTGGCAACGAGCTTCTGTCATCAATAATCCAGATCAGGGCTGAATAATAGATCTGCTTCCATTCTATTGTCAGAGTGTGTAATATCAATTTTCCAAAGCCTTGCTTAGAATGCAATGTTTGCTGGTGTTTATATTCTAACTATTAGGAACTGAAACATCGTCAGTCGCTCATATGGAGTCTGGCTGGTACAGGTGACTGCGTCTGAGATGGTGGACGACATCGGAATGATGGAAGAGAAAGGAAGGAATTAGAAAAATGTGGATTTTATATTATATTTATGGGTAGTAATAATAATAATGGTATTTATAAAACTACATTTGTATCCATTGCAAGTATGTATAAAAAAAAAAGTGTTTTTTTTTTAAACACAGAAAACTTTTGTTGGCAAATTTTAAAATATTCCTGCATAACAGACTAATAAAGTGAGCGATCGCCATCAAACCTGAAGGTGAAACATTAACTGAGCTTTTGGCCATTTTTAGCCCGACTCTGACATTCATTTCTAAACGAGCACATGATGTAGTTAGAAAAAGAAGCACTAAGGTTTTAAACTGGGCCATAAAAAGAGAAGAAGAATTACAACTGCGGAGTACTTCATGTTGTTTTAGCTGATAGTGAGCCTCAGAGTCACCAGGAAGTCTTTGCTGCTTTAAAGGCGCTGACTAGACAATACTTCTGGTTAAAGGATATGTCACAACAGCAGGAACGTCTCCTCAGCACATTCAGGCAGGAACGCTGCTCGGCACGGCGCATCCATCCCACATACACACAAAACACGAACATACACTGACGGGCAAATGCTCCTTTCGTCGATTCCCTAATCAGGGGCCGCATAGAAAAGTTAGGAAGATTCTAAGGGCCCTTGAGTGTGGAGGGCCCCCAAAACACTGGAAAAACGATGTAGAAATAAGTAAAAATCTCCTAAATTAAGTGTATTTACCCTTAATTTGGGCAGGCAAATGAGACAGTTTGCCAATGGAATGAATATTTTTACTCTTAAAATAAGATAATTAGATCATTTGAACTTGAAATAAGACAAACCAATTGTGTTTTCTTATTTTAAATGTAAATTGTCTTGTTCCATTGGCAAAATATCTCTTTTACCGCCTCAATCCAAGAACAAATGCACTTATTTTAAGAAAAAAAAAATGACTTATCTAGATTTAGATTTTTTTCCAGTGAAGAAGAAAAGATTTGACCTGCTATAATTTTTTCGAATATAAAAAGGAAATCCAGCAGTGAAATAAATAATCTGTGTGTTCTCAAAAAGATAATTTATCCGCCCATGAAATTGCAATAAATGGTTTGGTCCTTAGGTCCTGCATGTGGCATCAGGTCTCCCCGTCTGTCACCAGCAGTTTGCTCATACAGGGGCTTAAATGCCACGCATGCATCATTTAACGTAGAGATACAGAAAAAAAAATTAAACAAATTTAGAAAATGTATAAATAACTAGTAGTGCTGAAAAATCAGGGCCCCAAAGTCTGGTTTTCAAGAAGGAAGAGAAAGAAGAAAGAGGAGAGAGGGAGAAGGCGTCCAATACCGTGATTCCAGGCCAATACCATGACTCCAATACCGTGACTCAGTTTTTAAAATCGTAGGGAAACCATATTTTGAATGTCAAATTTTCTGGCTTAAAAATGTATATAAATGTACTTTTTAATCAGACTATATTGTTCCAAAAATTTGAAAAATTCTCTAAAAAAAAAAAAAAAAAAAAAA